TATAATAATATAATATTTTATAAAAATTATTATTATAAAAATAATAAATCTTTAAAAATTAATAACTTTGATCTATTAATTCAATTTGGATAATTTAACTACCAAAATAATTCTCTTATAGAGATGATTTTAATGAATCTAAAATTAACCAAATCTGATTATATAATCTCGAGATCATTAATATTTTATGTTATATTTACTATAGTAAATATAATACAAATTATTAATAATCTTGAGCAAAATTATGTAATTAGATTTAGTTGATTTTAGATTCATTAGAAACAACTCTATAAAAGGATCATTTTGGTAGTTAAATTATCCAAATTGGTTCAATAAATCAATAGTTATTAATTTTAAAGATTTTATTATTTTTTATTAATAAAATTTTTAATAATTTTAATTTTTTTTTAATTGCAGATTCTTTCTAAATACAGGTCAAAGTACTGGTTCTAACAACATGCACTTAGAGGGAGTTGATTGTATATTTTTTTTTGGTATTAAGGTGACCTCATTGGCCTGGGAACTTTTTATTAAAATATAGATGATGTTTTATAGTATAATTACAACAATAATACATCAAGCCACATGTGCATTTTTGGTGCCTAATTTAAGTGGTTTGCTTAAAGTATTAATATTATACTAAAGGTTCTATACTATCTGCTATACCTGCACCCTAACTACAGAAGTTGCCTATTTAAACTATCTGGTTTTAATTACTATCATTAGCTCTTTAACCCAAAGAGTTTTCTTACTAAACTAAGTAGATATTGGGTATTATCTCACTTTGAATTTTTACTCTATCTTAGAATACTTAACTATCTTTAAGATAAATCTAACATATCGATACATGTTCTATACATGTATTTACATACTTGTTCTTATAACTTTTTCTTAATTAGTACATATTGACTTGCTATTCTATATACATATTTTATGCTATACTACTGTTCTATAGATGTTTCTCAAACATCAACCTTCTAATTAGGCACCTATTATGTACTTCTGCTCTTTATTGGTTCGAGATTATATGAACCCAGGTATCTACTTCAGGTCCACTTTCTTTAAACTGATTTCTCAATATTCTCAAACTATCAAACTAGTTAGCCAGTAGTGTTGGCCTGCCTAGACCTTAAGTGCCTTATGGGCTTTCTTCTCTTGGTACTGCTTTCAGAACACAAATCTTTTTTCTTTAGTGCAACTCTGGTGGCTAGGTTGTGGATCCTCTATTATAGGATCTTAATGCTCAGTTCTGCTAGTTCATTAGTTCTCAATCTTGTTCAGTTTTGTAATACCCTTGTGATTCTCACTACTTCTAACTTAGGTTTGCCAAGCTGGTTCTGGAACTTCAAGTTCTCTCTATTGGTATTTTGTTTCGATTTTAGTTTTTTTGTGTAATTTGTGTTACTTAAATACTTCCAGAATCTTCTAATACATCACTGGCACTGGTGTAACTAGAGTTATAGATATTATAACCCAACTTATTAATAAAGATCTATTACTATAACACAAGTAGTTTTGTCCAAAATGTTGCCAGTAGGATTCAAACTTGGTACCTTAGTTACAAGCTAGCTTGAAAGTGTGACAACTTCACCACTTTACTATATCACTATACCCTGTCTTTATATATATATATATATATATATTTAAGTGTTAAAAGATAAGGCCTTGCTCATATCTTTATTTAGTAATTTATATAAGTAATCATAAAAAAACAAAACTAAATGAAAACTTTTTATATATTTTATATAGTAAAACATAGTAAAAACATAGTAAAAAATTTGTAAATTTAAATTTCTTATATAACTTTTTATATACTAAACCAATTTTAATAATTTTACTGTTATTAGAATTAGAAAAATTAGCTCTACAACTTTTATTAAAAATTTAACAAAACTTTATTAAATAAATTTTTTGTTATTTATAATTTAGTGTTTTTTAGTTGCACTTTTAGTAGTTATTTTCTTTTAAATATTTTAATATAACTTTTGATAAATAAGTTAAATTTTAAATATATCAAAATAAAACATAAATATGGAATTTTATGTTGGATAAATTTAATTTTAAGTTATTAATACCAATTTTTCAAAATTTAACTTTTAATAAATTTAGTATATTGTACTAAATTTAGTACAGCAAACAGATACCCATTAATAAGAAATTTTTAATTGTTACAAACTTGTAAAATTAATTTGAAAAAATTTTGATTAAATTTCTGTTAAGTTATTCTTGTTTAAAGTTTAAAAAAAAAAACTTATTAAAAAAATATTTGTCATATTTTTTAATTTTATACCTATATATAATAAACTGTATAACTATTTAAATATCGATATGTTTTGAATTGGAATTGGAGAGTTTGGATCAGAATCCCGAAAATAAAAATCCCAACAGGGTCGAATTTTCTAAAAAATTGGCCAACATTACAGCTGTTTCATTATTTTGGAACATTTGAAGTCAGTAGATTCCGACTCGATTCGGCCGTCAAAAATTTTTTCAGATGTCCCAAAATGATGGTAATCCTGGCTAACTTTGTCGAGATTTTGACCCTGTCAGATTTGTTTATCTGGGTTTTGATCCAAACCTGAAATTGGCCCAATTCGGAATTACTAAAAAAATCACTAACGCTAAATACAAATTTTTTTTCATAACCCTAAAAAATTTGCCGATTCTGAATTGGGACGATTTCGATATATACAGTATCTACATACTCTCTTAAGCACAATAAGCTTAAACTAGTATATAGTCAAAAAAAGACTTGAAAAGCAAGTAATTATATGTACGCACTTATGTACAGTACGTATGTAATTGCATGATAACCTTGATATTGGATTGTGCGATAGCGATAGTAAAAAATTAGGTTTGCCAGGGCAAATAATTGGTATCGAGTAGCATTTATAAAGGTGTATTCAACGGGGTCTCTTTGTACTGTACGAAAAACAAATCGAAATTAATTTGTAAAAACCATTTTTAAATAATGATTGTAATTGTATATCCGACATACATACATTTCTGTAATGTAATAAGATTAAAAAAAGAAAAAATAACTGCTTTACGAGTTAAAATTAAAAAATATCTGATAACAAGTTTAAATGGGCTAAATTAGTTTAGCCTATAGTTGGTTAGTTCATCGACAAAGAAAAAAAAAAAGAAAAGCTAATATAATACAAGATTCCCCCGTCTAAAACAGTAAAATAGCCAAAAACAATACAAAATCACAATTCGAATATTTGAAAGGTTGTTGTATATTGAAATAACTTGTTGAAAGTTTTGCTAAGTGCTTAGGCAGGATTAGGCAGGATATACTGTATAACTGATGAGCCATCGTTGATTATCACCAAATCAAAGAAAAAAATTTCATGATAAAGCAAATTAGAACAGGAAATTAGAACAGGGAAATTGGGAACTTCACCTTCAAATATTTAAGATCGCCTATTGTACGTACGTACATATGTATTCATCTTTTTTTTGTGACACATACATTGGATATTAACTACGTACGTACGTACGTACAATCGCCACAGAAAGTATGTAATACATAAAAAAAAAAAAATCGGGCGTTCTGCGGCGACCATACATAAACAGAAAATACGTCACATGTCAATTAACAATTTATAGGACATGTCCCTGCGAGTCAGACCATATTTCTGTTCAATAGCGTATTTCAGAATTCGAACCTAAAGTAAACTATTTAAATACATAAAATGACTGCAACAGATATTGGCTCTTCAAATGAGCCTAATGGGCAGGCCCAACAGGTCAATGGTACTAATAAAACCCTTTCTCAGCTACAAATTATTGATGAAAACCAACACTTCACGTACGTGTTTAATGCTTATTATGCAATTTATATGTATTATAAACCATAAACATTTATTTTTAATAGAAAAGACTTACCGAAATACATGAAAGATGAGTGGGAGCTTGCTGACTGTGGGTTTAACTATAATTTGGTGGCTGTTTTTGGGTCACAAAGTACCGGGAAGAGTGAGTATTTAAATACGAATGCATACTAATTCATTCTTAAAAAATTTATCTTATTAAATTGAATTTATGTCAAATTCATAAAGGTACATTGCTAAATAGACTCTTCGGTACAAATTTTGATGTTATGAGTGAATCTGCGCGCCGTCAAACTACCAAAGGTAATAAAATTAATAAGTTTTAATATTTATTAAAAAAATTTAGCATATTTAATAAATTTTTTTGATTTAATCATTAGGAATTTGGATGAGTCGTGGCAGGGACATGAGCGTATTGATCATGGATGTTGAAGGTACCGATGGTCGTGAACGTGGTGAAGACCAGGTTCGTGATTATTTGGCTTTTAATTGTTATAACACGATTTGAATGCTAATAATGATGTGCTAAATAGGATTTTGAAAGAAAAAGTGCATTATTTTCTATGGCCACATCCAATGTTATCATTGTTAATCTTTGGGAACACCAAGTTGGCCTTTATCAGGGTGCTAACATGGGTCTTCTAAAAACTGTGTTTGAGGTGAACTTACAATTGTTCCAAGCTGCACGAGGGTTTGTATTATTAATAACCGGAGTTTAATCTAATTCTTATCTCGCTTTAATTTATTAACCAAATATTTTTCCTTATTGCATTTGTTGTATTTAATTCTTCAAATTATTTTATAGTAAAGAAAAGGAAAAGACCTTACTGCTCTTCGTAATTAGAGATCATGTCGGTTCAACACCATTGGCCAATCTGTCGAATACTTTAAAGGCTGATTTAGAAAGGATTTGGGATAGTGTCTCTAAGGTAATTATATTATATCTATTTTTTATTAATGTTTATTAATGTATATTATACTAATAAACCATTCATTAATATTGATTTATATTATTGCCTCAGCCTGAAGGCTTAGAACATTGTACAATTAATGATTATTTTGATTTTATGTTTGCTGCATTACCACACAAACTCCTCTTACCAAGAGAGTTTGAACAAGATGTTATCAAATTACGAGAACGGTATAGTTTTAGTTGATGATTGTAAGGTTTTGAATACGTAATTAATATCATTTGATTTAATTATTATATATGTTATTCATTATCATAATTAGGTTTGTTAATCCAAACAATAAAGATTTTGTTTTTAAACCAAATTACAGCAAACGAGTTCCTGCTGATGGTTTTCATGTTTATGCAGAGGGTATTTGGGTATGTATATACATAATTAAGATATTCATAAATCATCACGAAAAATTTGAGATAAATCATTTTCTAATTGTCGATTTTTTGAATAATTAGGATCAAATTATGTCAAATAAAGACCTTGATTTACCGACACAACAAGAGCTTTTAGCGCAATATCGTTGCGATGAAATAGCAACTGTAAATATTTTGTATATATACAGTAGATAACTCGCCACATATATATATTTTACTAAATATATTTTGTTTTTTGTCAAAAGATCGCTTTTGATAGTTTCTTAGGAAAAATCAAGGGATTCAGACAACCTATTGAAGCTGGCAAAATCATTGATGATCTAGGGCCACAAATGGAAGAAATTCGAGCTACTACTATTAGTGAGTTATCTTTATAGATTGTTATAAGGCGTTTTCTATTCGTAGAATAGTTGATTTAACTTTACATGATGCCTTCTTTGACATTAGAGCAATTTGACAAAGATGCATCCCGTTATCATTCTGAAGTGTATAATCGTAAACGTCAAGAAATTCTTCAAAAAGCAAATTCTCAATTACACGTATTTTTCTTGGGTCAACTGAAAAATCTCACAAAGAAGGCCATAAATACATTCAATTCTCGAGTTCAGGTAGTAATAATAAATTGGGCTTTCATTCTTAGTACCCTTTAATAATTTAATAATTTAATATTGCTTTTATTATTATTATTTTTTTTTTTAACAGGAAAAATTGAAGGGAGAATATGATTTCGCTGAAGTTGTTAACAATTCTCGTGAAGAGTCCGAGGAACTTTTCACATCTGGAGCAAAGGGTAAAAATCACAATTATTGGCAATGGTTTCATATTATCATTCAAAGCAGCATTTTTAATTTTGATAATGGTTTTAGCCATTCTTTTGTCCGATACTGATTGGACATTTGAAGAAGAACTTACCCAATTGAAAGATTCCATTGATGATATTGCTGCGAAATCACGTATCGAAGAAACGAAAAAAATGGTCAAAGCATTGGAGGTACAAATTTAAATGACTTATTATAATCAATTGTTATTAAATTCTATGACCCATTAACTTCGTAAATTTACAATACAGAAATCATTTCAATCGCAAGTCAACGAATTCGTATCTCTATACTTCAAAACTCCAACTTCGGATATGTGGGGCAAGGTTGTTAATAAGTTTCAACAAGTTCTCGATACTGTTGAGGAACAATTATTAAAACGTGCAAAAAGTATGTGCCTAAAAAAATCGTATTATTTGATGCAAGTTAACGATATTTGCTATACTAAATTTGAACGTGCTTGTAATGATAAGGTTTTAACGCTACTGAAGAAGAGAATATAAAGGCCATTTCCAGTCTTCGTAAGCGCTCATGGTTGCAGTTACGAAAGAAAATTGATGATGAACTTGCGGACAACATGTTTTTACTTAAATTACGTGAAAGGTAACCAAATAATTTATATACTTTTTAAAAAAAATGAAACTCCACATTAATTTCTTGGCAGATTTGAAGAAAAATTCCGGTATGATGATGACGGTTTACCAAAAGTGTGGAAACCAGAAGATGATATAGATGCGCATTTCCGGAAAGCCAGGGATGAGGTATTAACATTTGTTTATACCGTTTTAATACACATTCATACTAAATAAATATTGCTTACAGGCGCTCAACCTTATACCTTTATTTGCCTCAATTCAAATTCCTGATGATGTGGAATTAGATATTCCATCAGATGAAGTAAGGAAAATCGTATACATCTGATCTTTTTTTCTATATACAATAATGTTACATATATTTTATACATCTTTTTTAAATGTTCAGGATCTCGATTTCGAAAGTTCATTAACAATTCTAACTGAGACCAGGCAACATGATTTATCAGTGCGTTTCAAGCGAGAATCAGATGCATTCTATCTGGAAGCGAAACGCTCTGTTGTAGCAACAACAGCTCGCATACCTTATTGGGTATTTGTCATGTTTGGTGAGTTAAATTTGGTTTATTTATTTTTTATTTTTATTTTTTTTGTATTTTTGCAAAATACTCAAAGCAAAACAATACTTTATAATCAGTTATACTCGGTTGGAATGAATTCATATCCATTATTACATCTCCAACGTATCTTGTGATTTTTTCCTTCTTTGGAGTTATTGGATATATAATCTGGTTACTAAACCTTTTTGGACCAGTTGAAACTTTTATCTATATGATCTCATCAGAAATGATCAAGGTTGGAAAAGAACAACTCAAGCACGGGCTTAGTAGTAGAGCACCGCCGGTATTAGCACAAAAAATTGACTCTATGTTGGGTAATACCGAAAATATAAAAAAAAAGAGCAGTAATAAATCTAGTGGTTGGACCCTTCTGAAAAATCATGACCCGGGTAACCCGTCGGGTAAACCCGCGGGTCACCCGGGTGTAGGGATGGTAAAAAAACGGGTTAAAACATTTTTTATATGTTTTTAATTG